TATATATATATATATATATTTTGTTTCTCTTAGTATACTAATTTATTTTCTTAATTTAATGGTTTTCTTCATTTGGGATACTATTGTAGTATGAAGAACAGCAGTTAAACACATGGGAAGGCTTTGTGGATTGGAGAAACAGACCTGTCTTAAAAGGCCATCATGGAGGCATGGTTGCTGCCTCCTTTGTCTTAGGTTAGTAAACCTTACCTATTCTTATATAGGTATAAAGATTTTTTTATGCAAGTCAACAATTAGAATTATTTTTCAGTTGTTATTTTTATGCTTGGTGTAAAGATGTTGGAGATTACTTCTCATTTTGTTATGTTGCAAAACCTCAGTTGTGGAGATATTGGAGAACCTAGCATTCTTGGCAAATGCAAGCAACCTTGTGCTGTACCTGTCAAGATTCATGCACTTTTCTCCTTCTGATGCTGCCACCATGGTGACCAATTTCATGGGCACCGCCTTCCTCCTCGCTCTCCTCGGCGGCATTCTGGCAGACGCTTTCTTCACCACTTACATCATCTATTTGATAAGTGCAGCAATTGAGTTCATGGTGAGTGTCGAACAAAGATTGAAGCTTCTAGTTCCTTTCTTTCTTTGTTCAGAATATTGTTGTCATTTTTCAACTCTAGAACCTTCATAAGTTCAGTTAGTTATGTACTTAAACACAACGAGGGAAGAGAGTTTCTAGAAATATCAAGCATATTGTTGAAAGTAGGAATGTTTCAATTCAAAGTTGCTTGTGACGAGTTTCGAAAAAAAGGGTAAAAAAAAAAGAGAGAGTTGGCCAGTTGGCTATGCTAGGACACTAACAAGCATATTTAGTCCACAGGATTCGGCTTACATGTCCCTTTTTTCCTATTGCTTTTCATGTCATACCAAATAATATAATGTTACATCAATTAAAATATGATAACTGGCGTGACTTTTTTAATTAATGTGGCATGACATTTTAATTGACGTGACATGATATTATTGGCGAAACATATAAGAGGATATGAATAAAGAGACACATGAGTCGAATCCGCAGTCCACATGTGGTAGGACTCATCTTAGAATATTTGTGGGGTCCTTTAATAAGGATAGCAAATTAACAATTCCTACATGCATGGCTTATGTCAATTTCCATGGCTGAGGTGTGCTACTCTTGGTAGATGCTACAGAAATGGTACAAAACTAGCCCCTCCTGATAACAATCCTACCTAGGGTCAATATCATATATTACTATCAATTTTCAAAATAAATATTCTGCACTAATAGGAACATATTGAATGCATCCAAATAATAATATGAGAATTAGAACTAAAGAAAGAGAAAATAGATGTTAGAATTGTCCAATAAGAATTCAGGGTCATGACATATGAGAATTAGAACTAAAGAAAGAGAGAATAGATGTTAGAATTGTCCAATAAGAATTCAGGGTCATGACCTTGCTAGGTCCACAAGTTAGGATCCCATCCCTTTCCTAGTTTTCTGTGGAGGTTTCTCCTTACTGCATAATGGAGCCCAATAACAGTAACAATAGATAAAGTGACACCTAAGAAGAATAGAAGAGAAGAAGATAAACACAAAGTAGAAAAAGAAAACCTGGGTAAATGCCAAATGATCAGTTGATCAAAGACAAATATAATAAATGAACACGACCAATCCTAACAAAACCAGAAAAATATTATGCAACATCTACCACATTCAGGAACCATTTTCCTTTTACCAAACAGATAACATGGTAAATAAAATTAATGTACTTCTTTATGACACAACCAGGTTAAAAATTCTTGTTTTTGAATACTATGATGTTAATCATTAGTGTTTATGCATTAACATAGGCACCTGTCTATTGTGTTTATTTAATAGGGACTTCTGATACTCACAATCCAAGCTCAAATACAATCTTTGAAGCCACCAAAGTGCCATTCAATTGGTACTTGCCAGGAAGTTGGTGGATGGAAAGAAGTGATGTTGTTTGCAGGCCTGTATTTGGTGGCGCTTGGAGTTGGTGGAATCAAAGGCTCACTTCCCCCGCACGGTGCTCAACAATTCGACGAAACGACTCCGCAAGGAAGGAAGCAGAGATCATCATTCTTCAACTATTATGTCTTCTGCCTCTCCTGTGGGGCTCTAATTGCAGTCACTTTCGTCGTTTGGATCGAAGACAACAAAGGTTGGCAATGGGGTTTCGGGGTCTCTACTGCAACAATACTGATGTCGATTCCAGTCTTCCTCATTGGCTCTCCCTTTTACAGGACAAAACTTCCCACAGGAAGCCCCATCACAACCATGTTGAAGGTAAAATGAGTAGGAAGAAAAAAAGCACAATACTTGTTAAGATTTAGACACTTTAATTCTTTACTATCGAAAACAGTAAAATAATAATAAAAATAAAACAAATAAAATAAGCACACAACAAGATTTATAGTGGTTCATACTTGATGTGAGAGCTATGTCCACTTTCTGCCGCTGTAGAATTTCGACATGATAAGGAAAAAGATTACAAGAGAAAATAGCACACCTCTTAGACTCTGTAAATTTTCTCTAACATTTCTCACAACCTTAAAATTTTCACCCCTCAATATCAGAGAAATTAGGGCAATCGAAATTGTAAGTGTGAAATTTCTGCATGATATCTCTGCATTAGAGCAACACTTACACTCTACCCACTCAACAACACTTTCACTTAGATTGGTCTAGCTAAACAAAATATAACAAGTCATTCTTTTTTATTTTTCCCAAACAGGTTTTGGCTGCAGCCATATGCAATTCCTTCAAATCCAGAAATTCAAACAATGCCATCATGGGCATGAGCACAAGCTCGTCTTACGCAACCGAAACAAGCGAGGGAGAAGACCAGAATCCCAATAAAAACACACCAGCTCAAACCCCAACACAAAGTCTCAGTTTCCTCAATTGGGCACTATATGACAAGCCTGCTCATCCAAAGCTGCAATGCACTGTAAAGCAAGTGGAAGAGGTCAAGATAGTAGTAAAAATCCTACCTATATTTATGTCCACCATAATGCTAAACTGCTGCCTAGCCCAGCTCTCAACATTTTCAGTCCAACAAGCAGCCACCATGAACACCAAGCTAGGAACCTTAAAAATCCCCCCCGCTTCTCTCCCCGTCTTCCCCGTCCTCTTCATCATGATCCTGGCCCCACTATACAACCATATCATCATTCCATTCGCGAGAAAGATCGCTAAAACTGAGATGGGAATCACTCATCTGCGGAGGATTGGGACAGGGCTTGTGCTGTCCATTGTGGCCATGGCAGTGGCTGCTCTAGTCGAAACCAAGCGCAAGAACGTCGCATCGCAACATCGACTAATGGACTCACCCCACGAGCCTTTGCCGATCACATTCCTTTGGCTGGCATTGCAGTACTTATTCTTGGGCTCAGCCGATCTCTTCACATTGGCCGGGATGATGGAATTCTTCTTCACAGAAGCTCCTTTGAGCATGCGATCTTTGGCCATGGCTCTCTCATGGGCATCACTGGCAATGGGGTACTATCTTAGCTCGGTTCTCGTGTCGATTGTCAATGGTGTCACAAGTGCATATAGGCACACTCCTTGGCTCTCTGGTGCCAACTTGAATCACTATCACCTTGAGAGGTTTTACTGGTTGATGTGTATTCTCAGTGGACTCAACTTCTTGCACTATCTCTTTTGGGCTGCTCGTTACAAATATAGATCATCAACAAGGTTGGAAAATTAGAAGAGAGCTTACAAAGTTTGCCTTGTTAATGATACTTAATTATTCCATTAGGCTGCTATTTAATGCAAAGAATATTTTGTATTAAGTGGTTCTAGAGTCATAAAGCTAAGAAAGGTTTTGATATTTATCTATTAGAATATGCTTCATTTGGTTGGGGCTAATATTAGTATAACTTTCTCGTGTAACCTCTTCTTTGAGTTTTCATGTTAGTATCTAAATGTATTCCACTTTGTTGAAAACATATTTCTATATGAAAAAGATTGCTAAGTGTAGTTGTAGATATAGTTTAGCGGTAATTCCACATCAGACTCTATCATAAAGTGTAGAGTTCGAATCTACCCACCCTAAGTTCAAAAAAAAAAAAAAAAAAAGGAATGCTAATCACAAAGGGATCATAATTGGTAACAACTAAAAATAATGCAAAGGTAGTTGAGTGGGGGAAAAAAAGATGGAAGAAAAAAACTCATGAAAGTTCTGATTAATATCAACTATATTGTTGCATTGTACTAGTAAATTCACATTAATAACCAAATTTATGGAAATAAAACTACCAGACAAACTTGGGGTTTCCTGCTGAATGCACATTCTACATCTTGCAAGTTGTAGAACATGAAATCTGCGAGAAAACGACGAAAAAAATAATTTTGTCACATAGAAATTGCTTCAAGAATAGGCAACACATGTTACATAAGTGAGGACCTGGAATTCCTTATATACCCCGGCATTGCGCTGTGAGAATAAGAAGCAATCAGTCTCTATTCTGCCCACTTGCACATTATTATTAATTGAATTTGTATATAAAGAAAAAGATGGCAGAAATTGAGCTGGTGCTAAAACTTTCTTTTTCAGTAAATTTTATTATTTGATGAATTCTACTGTAGCAAAGGGGGTGTAGCTCAGATGGTAGAGCGCTCGCTTAGCATGCGAGAGGTACGGGGATCGATACCCCGCATCTCCACATTTTTTGGCCTCTTTTCGTAAAGTTCAGTAATGAAAGTTGGAATCTTCAAATCATTATTCTCTTACCGATACCGTTCATTTCGGTTTCTCGATGAGCATGAAAATTTCATTCAAAACAAAACATCTTAGTCGGACGAATGGGCTTTGGTTTAGGACCGAAATCAAACTATGTCTATAACAAGAAAAAGAAAAGATGAAATATTGCATTAACCATGACTCATGTTGTCACTAACTTTAGCCGTCATGAAGAGTTGTCACTAAGCACTTTTAGCAACGGTTCGAGGAATTTAGCAAAATCATGGTTGAAAATGCTATTTTTTGTAGTGCGCCATCTATATATAATATATACATATTATATATATATATATATATATATATATAATAAAAAGGACGATCATTAGCGTCATTCTCAATTTAACAGTTTGAATCACCTTATTGAAAGAACATTACTCTATTGGATCATTTGAGTAAATTGAAACGAGTTGACACGAAAGATGCACAACCACAAATAAGCAAACCAAATGGGAGATCGGCTCATGTTAGTCTTTAGATTAGAAACTTTCAAGAAAGCCCCTAAGTCCGTGAATTTTGGCTCGCCAGTGAAATTTTTTGGACACGGAACAGAAACGTATCTCCTATTTCGAAGAGATTGTGCCTACACATGGTATCCGAATCTGAGGAAGTCGCTACAAAATCAAGTGGAGAGTTCTTATTTTGCTCAATCCTATATGCACTTCTAGACACTTTCCAAATTCGTTACATTAAAAATAAGTATTCATCTTGCATTGCCTTTGGCTGCTTAGAGTACGTTGAATTCAAATTCGTGCTATAAGGATGGTCAATATTGAGCATTTTTTTTAATTAATATTGACCGTCAACAAAATACGGTTAAATATGTCCCCAGATATAAAGCTCATGGGTATGAATCCATGAGCCGAAATTTGACTAGAAAACGCGTTCAATGGATGTTTGGCAACCTAAAAAGTAAAATAATTCAAATGTAAGTATGATTTTAAATCTCAACCACTTGCAAATTGTCATAATTTGGACTCGTTAGGTATTTTTATTAGTCGGTAATTTATTAGTAATCTTGTAGAATCAGATTTGAAGTTGCAGATTTTGTTGAGTTGTGATATGTGAAGATAAGGATTAAAAAGGTTGATTTGAATTTGAACGAAAAATGGCTTATATGCAGATAAAGTGATATAGATTTAGTTTCAAATTGAAATGGAGATATAGCTTGCAAGTCAAGATTAATTCAGATTTAATTGTTTGTGTGAAGTAATCCGAATATGATGTGGAGAAGATTTAAATTCAAGTTCAAGAGTTGCATATTTGAATTTATTGGAGATGATTTGGCTGCACTTGGTTAGTGATTTGCGTGAGATAAGCTTTGGGATTTGAACGTTAAAATATTACAAACGTGGAGGTGTGATGTAAGTAGACTAAAGCATTGGGTTTGGTTTAAAAGTTCAAATGAGATTTGGTGTTTTGAATTAAAAAGAGGCTTATCTAATCAGCATGTTTAGAGGAAGTCTAAGTGAGACAATGAAGCAGATAAAATCAGAGAGATTTTAATTTGAGAAAAAAATCATGGAAGATTTCTTTGAAAGGAGATTATGTATGATATTCTTTTGAGAGAATCGGACAAATTTTACTAGTGAGATTGCACATATATTTTGAGCATGAGATTTTATGGAAATAATCTAAGAGAGAATCATGGAGAAAAGAAAAGATCTTTGGGGGAGAGATTATCGAGTAGCTTTGGAAGCCTTATTTTAAGGACTTGCATTTAGCTCACTTGGTACGGATTTAATAGAGAAATATTCAGAGAAAAAGTCTGTGAGTTTGAGAGCCTTTGAGTGTTAATCATTACTTCTTTCGAGAGATCGGCTTGTTGCTTTCGGGAGGAAGCTTTGCCGGTCGAAGGGAGTTCGCCAGGTGAATAAAAGACGTGTGATACATGTTAAACACCATCAATGTGGAGATTCGTGACTGCGGCGTCATTGTCTAGAAAGGGTTCTTGTGTGAATAAGTCCGTCAGTGTCTGTAATTTCTGGAACATAGTGAACTGTTTACTGTATGTACGAGACCCCGCAGATGTAGGTGTGCGCACCGAACTGCGATATCATATTGCATGTTCTTTTTATTTATGCACTTTATTCTGCTCCCGAAAATTGGACATAATTAATTCGGATCTTAATTAATTAAGCCGTGTCCCAAATTGTATTACAACACCATCTGGAACACTAGACGTACAATCAGATCTAACATGACTTCTTTACTAGAGCAAGAAATTCTCATTTTTGGTGTGCTCCATCGAATTTTTCTTTTCTATTTTTCTTTCCTATTCAGATTTACCCTTTAAACGTATATCGAGCGCTAGTTTAAATCGCAATTTAAACACACTTTCCCGATTTTACAGTCTGAATAAAAAAAAGATTCAAATCGCTAAATTACAAACGCGCGATCCAATTAGATCCTTTTTTTTAATTATTTTTTTCATTCTTGTTTCCGGCATACGTATTTATGGTTGTTTCAAGTCACTAAACGAGTATGGCTCTTGATAGACAAGTGGTATTTCCATTCACGTTTCAACGATGGAAATCCTTTCTCCAATGGAGGATAAATTAATGATTGATAAAAGTTGAAAGCAGAATTAGAATTGAATATTGACCAAGTACGGTTCTCTCATCTTCCTAGTGGCTTCCTATATAAGTAAAAAGAGAAGGGACGATATAAGTAGAATATCTTCCAAGTTCCAAGCATTTTCTACTTTTTTCCATAATTATCTCCTTGTGTTGTCCTTGCGTAGTCAGCCATCTAAGCATGTATAAATACAGCTCATATATATAACTCTTACAAGCTGAGACAATTAGCAGCTCGGTAGAGAGATGAAGTTGCTAAGGTTTTTATGGTTTTCTTGGGTCCTAATCATTGTTCTTCTCTTCAATCCACCGTTTGGTGATCGCTCTGATCGGTATGTAAGAATCTCTATATAGTAACTTAAAAACATTGTACAGACTAAGCTATATTACAGTGGCTTGGTTTACATATAATTAATTAATTTGGTCACTTAATTCATGATCATCTACCTAATCCTATTATGACAAAATATTATTCTTGTTTCCGTCTTTCAGGAGGTTGCTGATCGGGTGCAGCGCAGGTCGTGCGCCTCCTCAACCTTGGAGACCGCCGTCGCCGATTAAGGGTAATGGAAGAAGTCCAGTCCATCCAAGCCCTGGTGTAGGAACACAAAGGTGCTGTTTGTGAAAAAAAAACATTATAGTAAAAAAGGTTTGAAATATGGTTCAAACCCACGAAACATTTTAAAAATATTAGTATCGATCGTAGGATAATTATGTTCCAATTATGATGTTGAACTAGTTTGATGGGAGTTACAAGTCATGGTGGATAGTAGCGCCTTTTGATTTATGGTGTGTGACGGCCCTCATTTTGTTATTATGATCTTGGACGATGTACATTTTTTTTTTTTTTTTATAGAATTGAACAATGCATTTTTTTTTTTATCTTTATACTATGACTTATGTTGGATTATGTAATTTTATCTTGAGATTATTACTTATTGGGACTATGAAATTGTAATCTTCGTATTATGGCATCTTTTTAACTATGTAATATGCTACTTTAATGGGTGGATACTATCTCTGCCAATTTTAAATGTTACTTGTGTAAATTATCCAACAATATTGCCATTAAAAATGGAATTTTTTTTTGTAATTTCAGCAAAAACAGAGGATGCCAACGTAAAAAGCTGTTAAATATATTTAATGACCTCATTAACACTTGTATTTGGGAATACCTATACTCTCATTTTCTCCCAAATAACAAAACTGCTGTGGGCTTGAGATAATTTTCTGTTTGAGTACGTCTATTAATACTTCTCATTTTATTTTTTTACAGACTTATTTTTAAACAACCAGTCATTCAACTTGTTACATCCTTATTAAAATTTTGAAAAAAGCGCCTTTAACTAAATTGTATTATTTTTCTTTTTTTTTTTTTCACCCATCTACTAACCAAATTTATCATTTAAAAATAAACCATTTTCCTTTTTTTTAAAAATTAATAGTCAATGGTTGC